TTGGTTGGACTGCCCTCTCTCCTCCCCGGGGTAGCTGTCTCCAAGATTGGTGGCCTTCTTCTAGGGTTTGCTTGCCGGGGCATCTCCGGGCCAGTTTCGATTCTATGGTCCTCCTAGTCTCTTGGCAACTGTGGAAAGAGCGGAACTCCAGAGTTTTCGACTCTGCATTGTCATCGGTCTCGGAGGTCCTTGAGTCCATCATCTCTGAGGGCCACCTTTGGTCTTTAGCTGATATCATTAATTTTGGGCTTCTCCTGGGAGGGTAATGGCTTTGCCCCCTCCCAGCTATTTGGAGTTGTGTGTGGCCATCACAGTAGTCTTTCGTCTCTTCTTTATTTTATCTTTTTTTCTCCCCTTTCTTGGCATAAGTCGGTCTGACTGATTGCGTTGTGTAACAAACATTCTATTCTTCTAATATATTGACGTGCAATCCTTTTGCGCGTTTGAGAAAAATGAAGATATCATAGGTAGAAGTAATGGAACATATCATAGTACTCCCTCCGTTTCGAAATATTTGACACCGTTGACTTTTTAGCACATGTTTAACCGTTCGTCTTATTCAAAAACTTTTGTGAAATATGTAAAATTATATGCCTACATAAAAATATATTTAACAATGAATTAAATGATAGGAAAATAATTAATAATTACTTAAATTTTTTGAATAAGACTAACGGTCAAATATATGCTTAAAAAGTCAACGACGTCAAACATTTCGAAACGGAGGGAGTACTATATAGCTAGCTAACTGCCACCGCCGGCCAGGTTATTTTGGCTTGTGGCGTGTTCATCGATGCAAAGAATGCATACTTTGTTTCAGAATTAACTGATCTGGAAGAACCATGCGTTACACCTATCGACCAATCAAGATATGAAATTATGCACCATTGTTTCACGGGATTAATTAATTAAAGCTAGCTTACATGCATGGCTACTGGCTAGGAGAGGCCGAACTGGGTGGCACACTTCATGCATGCTGCCGAACTCAAGCACATTGCAAGCTGATGATGATCCATCGATGGTGCTGTATCCATCATCAGTGTAAAATGAATGGGAGAAGCGATACCCTTTGTCTCGGGTTCGCATGTATTTATATAGGTAGAAAGAGCCTCTACCGTGGCTGTTACAAGAGATTGAATCACAGAAGTTTATCCCGTGAGTTTACAACAAACCAACCTTATCTATCTATCTTAACAAACTACAGATGAATATACATGAGATAACAACTCTTATCTTAACACTCCCCCTCAATCACAACTTACCAAGATTGAGATTGTGTCGAAAACCTATCAACTGCTGAAGAGAAATTGGTTTCGTGAAACCATCAGCAACCTGATCTTGTGAGCTCACAAAATGTATATCCAACAATTTCTGAGCTACTTGTTCACGCACAAAATGATAATCAACTTCAATGTGTTTCGTCCGAGCATGAAACACGGGGTTTGCAGTCATATAAGTTGCACCCAAATTATCACACCAAAGTCTTGCAGCATTAGGATGTAAAATACCTAATTCAGTTAATAACTTTCTTACCCAAATAATTTCAGCTGCTGCATTAGCTAGTGCTTTATACTCTGCTTCAGTACTAGACCGTGAGACAGTGGCTTGCTTCCTTGCACTCCATGAAATCAAGTTATCACCAAAAAACACAGCAAAACCCCCTGTAGATCTCCTGTCAGCAAAACCCCCTGTAGATCTCCTGTCATCAACAGACCCTGCCCAGTCTGCATCAGAGAAAGCACTAACAAGATTTGATGAAGACTTAACAATCTTGAGTCCTAGATCCAAAGTTCCCTTCAAATACCTCAAAATCCTTTTGACTGCTGACCAATGAGCTGTTGTAGGAGTTTGCAAAAACTGACATACTTTATTCACTGAGTAAGATATATCAGGCCTAGTTAAAGTAAGATATTGTAAAGCACCAACAATACTCCTATACTGTGTCACATCACTAGGCCCCAATTCATCTCCAATCTCAACAGACAATTTTTCAGCAGTTGACAAAGGTGTACTCACAGGTTTACACGATGTCATATTAACTCTTTCAAGAAGTTCAGTAGTATACCTTTCCTGTGAGAGTAATAGAGTTTGCGGTGTCCTCTTAACTTCTATTCCCAAGAAGTAATGCAGATCACCTAGATCCTTTAGAGCAAAGTCCTTTTCCAGATCTTTCAACAACGCATTTACAGCTGGGGAAGATGAGCTAGCAACAATGATATCATCAACATAAACAAGTACAAACATTTTATGATGCCCCTTATTATAGAAAAATAGGGAGGTATCTGCCTTTGAAGAGCTGAAACCAAGTTCCTGCAGTTTCTTACTCAACCTAGAATACCATGCCCTAGGAGCCTGTTTCAATCCATATAAAGCTTTATCAAGTTTGCACAGAAAATGTGGTTGTCTAGCATCTTCAAAACCAGGAGGTTGTCTCATATATACTTCCTCATCTAAATAACCATGTAAAAAGGCATTTTGCACATCCAACTGTCTTAAACTCCAACCTTGAGACATTGCAATGGACAAGACTAATCTTATAGTAGCAGCCTTAACAACAGGACTAAAAGTATCCTCATAGTCTATCCCATACCGTTGTTTAAAACCCTTTGCTACTAACCTGGCTTTGTATCTGTCTATAGTGCCATCTGCTTTCTTTTTAATCTTGTAAACCCATTTAGAATCTATAATATTTTTACCCTTGACCGGTGGTACTAAATGCCAGGTTTTATTATGCAAAAGAGCAGAAAATTCTTTGTCCATTGCCTGTTTCCAGTTTGCACTGCTAAGAGCTTCCTGTAAACTAGATGGCTCACCTGTCTCAGTCAAACAACCATACCTGACAGTACCATCCGTATACTTCTTTGGGCGATGAACACCATGCTGTGATCTTGTCACTGGACGCTGCTGGATCTGTTGTGCTGCATCAAACGTGTGTGGGCTGGAGACGTTGCCTCCACTGGACGTAGCGGATCCATGCGTCGCATGCATCCCATCTGCAGCCGCAGACGAGACCACATCGGCTGGCGAAATCGACGACGTGTCTCCCCCTGGTTCGTCATGCGGATGCGTGATGGAAGCCGGCACCGAGTCCTGCGTCTGCGACGGACAGGTAGCAGACGGCGCGCTGCGCGGAGGTGACTGGAGCGCAGAACCACCCTCGGGGTGAGCACCATGCACGTCGGAGCCATGCTGCATAAAATGACGACTGTTTGCAGCCGTTTCTGCACCATCAGCACCAGCGTTTTCACCAGGATTTGCACCATTTTCTCCTGCAGAAATTCCTGCATGCAGCTCAGCAGTCTCGTCAGTATGGTTAGGGATATTAATCAGAGGTTGGTTGCACAGTTCAGTACCCCCGAACGAATGGACAAGATGTGAAGGCAACAACAAGACTTCAGCCCGCAGGCGAGCCCCGGCATTAGGACGAAGCTGAGCGAAAGGGAATATATTTTCATCAAACACGACATCCCGTGAGATATACACCCGGCCAGAATTCACTTCGAGACACTTAAAACCTTTATGCAAAGGACTGTAACCGAGAAAGACACATTGTTTGGAGCGGAAGGCCAATTTATGGGTGTTGTAAGGGCGAAGGTTAGGCCAACACGCGCAACCAAAAGTGCGAAGAGCATTATAATCCGGTTGTTCCTCAAACAAATATGCAGGTGTATCATAATGGATGATTTTCATGGGAGTACGATTGATGAGATATGTGGCGGTGAGAAAAGCTTCATCCCAAAATTTAAGCGGCATTGATGCATGAGCCAGCAGAGAGAGACCAACCTCAACGATGTGGCGGTGCTTGCGTTCAGCAGAGCCATTCTGCTGATGGGCATGAGGGCAGGAGACATGGTGAGAGATACCAATGCGCTGAAAAAAGGAATTTAGACGTTGGTACTCGCCACCCCAATCGGTTTGAACCGATTTGATTTTGCGATCAAGGAGTCGTTCAGCCATGTTTTGAAAATCTTTAAATTTCTCAAAAACTTCGAATTTATGTTTCAACAAATAAATCCAAGTGAACTTGCTATAGTCATCAATAAAACTAACATAATAAGATTTATTGCCAACTGAAGAGGGGGCAGGACCCCATACATCTGAAAAAATAAGGTCCAAAGGAGCTAAAGACAAACTGAAAGACTTGGGGTAGGGTAATTGGTGACTTTTGCCCTGCTGACACGCATCACATACAGACCCTACATTGGAATCCCTAACAACAGGGAGATTATTTTGGCTGACGACTCGATCAACAATAGAAAACGACGGGTGACCCAAGCGGCTATGCCACCTTGTCATGGACGGCTTGATGACGGCGACATGAGCTTGTTTATTGGAAGACTCAAAGGAAGCAGCAGTTGGCAACGGGTACAGGCCGCGTCTACACCGACCTCGAAGGAGAAGCTTCTTCGTTTCCTAATCCTTGAGCAAGAAGAAGAAAGGATGAACTTCCATGAATGCATGGTTATCTTTAGTAAGATGATGTGCAGAAACAAGACTCTTTTGGGCATCAGGAACATGTAAAACATTTCGCAAAACAACATCACGAACAGGGGTACGAATAACAGTGCGCCCAACATGATCAATTCCCATACCTGTGCCGCTTGCCGTGTGGACTTGATCTCCACCGGTGTATTTGTCCCGCACCGTCAGCTTCTCTAGCTCTCCTGTGATGTGGTCGGTGGCGCCCGTGTCGATGTACCAGTTGGTGTCGACGCCGTAGGAGTTTGTTGCCGCAGCCACGCTCTTCTCTTCACCGGAGTACGAGGTGTCAAACCTCTTCCAGCACTTCACCACAGTGTGCCCGATCTTGCCGCAAAGCTGGCAGATGGGCTTCAGCTTGCCATCGCCACGGCCGCCTCCGCCGCGGCCAAAACCGCCACGGCCGCGATTTCCGCTGTTGGGACCGCCATGTCCTCCTCCGCCTCCGCCTCCGCCGCGCCCTCCTCGTGACGCAGAGTTTGCAGAGGACTGGGCAGCCCCTTGAAGCAGCTCCATGCGCGACTCAAACCCTGTCAATTGAGCATGAAGCTCGCTGACAGAGATTGGTTCAGCCCGGTTTGCCACAGATGAGACCACCGAGTTGTAGTCGAAGTCCAGCCCGGCGAGGATGTAGGTTACCAGCTCCTCGTCATCCATAGGCTTTCCTGCAGAAGACATTTCATCTGCAAGCGATTTCATCTTACCGACATAGTCAGATATGCTGAGATTTCCTTTCTTGGTTGTTGACAGCGCCAGACGAGTGTTGATCACACGCGCGCGCGACTGAGAGGCATAGATCCCCTCGATGGCAGACCAGACCTCCGATGCTCGGGGTGAGCGTCGCCACCTGCGTGAGTACCTCCCGTGACAGAGACATCAGGAGATAACTCAGCACTTGTTGCTCCTGCGCCACCCATTGGGTGTACGCCGCATTGACAACCTTTTCACCAGTGTTGCCGTCCTTGTCCTGCAGCACCACCATCTTGGAAGGAGGCTTGATGGAGTTGTCTAGGAAGCCCGCCAGTTGGGCTCCCCTCAACGCCGCAAGGACTTGAGCTTTCCAGAGGACGAAGTTTGTCTTCGTCAGCTTCTCGGTGACCACCTGCCCTAGGATAGCAGGTGCCGCAGCAGTGGAAGATGACGCCATCTAATCTAGATCAAATTGAGATGAGTTTGGTGGAGGGAGACGGCTCTGATACCATGTAAAATGAATGGGAGAAGCGATACCTTTGTCTCGGGTTCGCATGTATTTATATAGGTAGAAAGAGCCTCTACCGTGGCTGTTACAAGAGATTGAATCACAGAAGTTTATCCTGTGAGTTTACAACAAACCAACCTTATCTATCTATCTTAACAAACTACAGATGAATATACATGAGATAACAACTCTTATCTTAACAATCAGCAGGTAGGCAGGCACAGCTTGGTGCAGCTAGCAACTGTCATGGCCATGCGTGTAGTCCTAGTATTGATCGATCGATGCAGAGAGAGGTCAGATGCATGCGTAGCTTCTGATTTGACTTCAAGTAATACAGACAGCCGTCGCATATATGCGTGCATCAGCGCTTACATATTATTTTCTTCTCCCCGAATATATGATAATGATAGGATCCTCTCGTTTCTTAATTTCATTAATTAACCCCTTCATGATTGCTCATTTGCTCTTGCGCATGCATGCTACCTGAATCCCTCTGTCTCTGCCGCTGTAGCGCCGATGAACAATGACAGATTATGATTTATGCAACGAAAACCTGAATCACTGAATGTGCTAGAAGATGAGTTAATTAATTTCACGGCTTTAATTGATCACTATGAATACTTGGCTTGTTGTCATTATGTATGTACGTACATTGCCATCTAGCTAGAATTTAACTCATCAATAATCATGGCTTCATTATTCGCCGATTGCAAAAAGAGAAACATATATCAGCCTCATGTGGCATGAGGTGCCTAAAATATCTCACACGCGCACATACTGAAGCGGCCGGCAAGCTTGATGCATGCTGCTATGGTGCTGACTAGCTAGCAACCAGCATGGATGCACAAAGAAGCAACTTCATGGATCCATGGCTATATAATATCACTGGATGTGTGTCTTGCCTACCCATCCGGTCTCTGAACATCGATCGAGTTGACCACTGTCGTTTTAGTTTCAATCGGTATCTGAACTTTATTGTGTGCTCTGAGTGTAGTGCATAGCTGTATACTTAACCTGACTATCACAACTAATCTGCTTGACTTTTCAGGTCAGCTAGCTACTGCAAATAGTCAATGAGTGAGGAGGCGCCGCCATCATCGCCGGTGATGAGGGCGGTGTTCTATGATGGCTGCCCCGGCTGCGCCATGGAACGGAAGCTGGAGAGCAGCCAAGGCATCCCCTACAAGGAGTTCTTCTTTGTTGGGATCACCACCATTGCCTCTTGTATGTTCTTCTTAATTAACTAATGAACTAACTACGGTTATGATGTCTTGAAATTTTTACTATGAGCCCATACATGCATGGTATACTTGTTTTGATGATACAACTAGCTTGCAATCCATATGTTGATAATCTTATTTTCTGATGATTGGTTGTATTGTTTTCCTTTTCAGCTTTACCAATATCCTCGTTGTTCCCATTCCTCTACCTCATGGTACTACGTTAATCTCAATGGGATCTAATCCATGTCATATATCTTCTCTATAGGAGCAAAAACGCATGCCATGTTTCACTAAGTCATATTTTATAATCCTACAATTATTTTATCTTCACACTAGATAGAAGACCTACATGTGGCAAAAAAGGAACAAGATATTGGATTATACGCTGGATTTCTTGGTAAGAATCATGAAAGTTATGATTTTCAATCAGCGTAGCCCACTTTAAATTCCAAAGTTCCTTCTCTTTCCTATTTCATAAAAATTATATGCTCATGCAGAAGTAGAATGTGACAATATTTATGTTTTGTAGGTGCATCATATATGATCGGTAGATGTTTGCCTCACTCTTTTGGGGTGTAGTTGCAGATCGTATAGGGAGGAAACCTATCATTGAATTTTCTATTTTATCAGTGTGAGTATTTATTGTCTCAAAATGTTCACTTTTACATGAAAAATTTGAAAAGCTCAATATATGATCCTCTGTTTTTAAGGGTCATATTCAACACTCTGTTCGGATTAAGTGTAAAGTATTGGATGGCAATTGCCACAAGATTCCTTCTTGGTGCTCTAAATGGCATGCTGGCCCCAATAAAGGTATGCTACAAAGCATAATCATAAATCAAATGAATTTATTCTGTCATTCATGTGAACAAATATATATGTATGCTTATTGTTTGATTTATTGCAGGCTTATTCCATTGAAGTTTGTCGACCTGAACATCAGGCTCTAGGATTATCAATAGTAAATAAATTTATACTCATCTCATCACAAGTACAAAATTCAGATAATTGTATCTCTAATGCACTTCAATACTTATATATAGGTAAGCACTGGTTGGGGCATAGGGCTTGTTGTGGGTCCAGCCATTGGAGGCTACTTTGCACAGGTAGTTGTTTTGTTATAAATTGTAACCATTTTTTTCACAGAATATTACAACAGTATTATAACTTACTTTGTCTCTCATTTCTCTCAGCCTGCTAAGCAATATCCAAATGTATTTTCTGAGAAGTCAATATTTGGGAGGTATACACAAATGGTTTGTCTCAAGATATATTTCATAAATAGTTTTATCATTTATTAAAAAAGTATATGTGTATTTTTTATAGGTTCCCATACTTCTTGCCATGCATTTGTATCTCACTCATTGCTCTTGTTGTTCTTATAAGCTGCATATGGCTACCGGTGAGTGATACTCCATGTATATACTACTTTTATGTGTTTTACAAGACTCTACTTAAAATCACTATCAAGTTTCTCACCTCTTAGGCTAGCTCCCATATAGCTCTGTTAACTCTTTCAATGCTATGCATAACTTTACCCAACCATGAATAGGAATGATATATGTCAATTGGTCACATAGTTATATTTGAAGCATGAACATATGGAGTGTAAATTCAATAGTTGACAACTTGGAGGTTTTAAATAAGCATATGATACAATTTTTAAGAACATGAAACACTTCCACTGATTTAAAATTTATTTTCTTGGTTTCCATTATGTCTAAAAGAGAATATGATTAGTGATGAACAAACTAATTTGTATTTATTCTTGTACTCAATTGTTGCATGACTACTGCCCAAAAACTGTGACTTGTGTACTTGAAGCTTTTAAGTGATATTATAATTATTAAGACATGACCGCAAGGAACAATATTAATCAAATTGACAATCTTAATTACCAGGAGACACTTCATAAGCATAAAAATACTGAAGGTGAAATTGAAATGATTGACAACTCAAGAAGTACACTTGAAGAAGATTCACATAAACAGAAGAGCCTCTACAAGAACTGGCCATTGATATCCTCTATTATTGCATACTGTGTTTTCACCCTTCATGATACAGCATATAGTGAGGTAATGATTTTAACTGTATCCCTATTCATTAGAATATGCAGATTGGTTAATATATAAAAGAAATATGTTTTTCATATATATAAAGGACTAATTGATTTTTTATATGTATACTAGATATTTTCCTTATGGGCTGTAAGTGACAAAAGATATGGTGGATTAAGTTTTTCGTCTAAAGAAGTTGGTCAAGTTCTTGCAGTTGCAGGTACTCCATTAACTGTTGTGGAGCAACTTATTATGACCATCATTTCCACCTCTCATAAATCGTATGTAGCACTTTATTCATTTGGGGGTAACTATTCATTCAAAGTCGGTATATACAGATGTTCGCACACTAGATATATTGTTATACTACATGTATATATTTCTTCCTCGACATCTAGTCAACACTCCACAATATCAAGATGAGATTCTCTAAAATTTTCAGAATTCTATAATGTTTTCTCTTTTGGAATTAATGTACGAAGTAAATACGAAACAATTTACCAATAAGGGAATATGGTACTAGAAGGAATGTGTAATGCTCATCTCAACTAGTGTATATGATTGTTACGGTTGTTGTATTGAAAGGCATAAGTCCTAACTCCTGTATTTCTTATTTTACCAAAATTTATTGAGTAGTATAATTATGCAAACCCCAAAAATATTAATCCTATATATGCGCCATTTTAGGTGCTGGTCTACTTGTGTATCAGCTTTTCATCTATAGATCGGTCCATAAATTTCTTGGATCCATCAATTCATCTCGTATTGCATCAGTGAGTATTTAAACCATATGCTCAAAACACATATACATGTTTCTTAGCCAAGCCAAATATCTTATACAAATTTTGTGTGTATATTACAGGCTTTATCCATACCAATTCTTGCTGCTTATCCCTTTATGACACACTTGTCAGGGCTTAGACTTGGAATAGCTCTTTACCTTGGAACCATTTTAAAGGGTGTTTTATCAGTAAGTTTCAAATATTGTTTGTCACATTCCAAACAACATGATTCAAGGAAAAATTAGATATGATGTACTTATCATATAAGACATAATAGCATAATATACACTATGAAAATAATTTTCATTTTATATTACAAGACAAAGAATATATTTTTTCTTCTAAAATTCGCAATTGTTTGATCACTCATCTTATTGTGCATATAAGGACTAGTCAACTAATTATATCTTGACTAGGAGGGTGCTCATATATACTCTGCAATTCAATTGACCCTTATAACATGTGTATATTACATAAGTTTGATTCTTATATTTAAAATGATTACGTTTGATTTATCTTTATAGGTGATGTAATATTTAGTTATATATCTATACATGACTTATGATGTGCATCAATTTCATGCATAATAATCCTTTTAAAAAATTGTCATGTAGAAGCTATTATAGAATTGATCACGGAAAATAAATAGTCATTTCTAGTTTTATGTCAATTATCATTCTTATTAACATTACAACGTTGTCAAATCAAATAACTATCATAACGGGCACTTCCCTACTCCAAAATAATGCTGTTGTAAGTATCAAGTCCACCTACCAATTATTTTCTCAATATTAACAATGTTATCTAATTCAGTTCATTCCAAACAATAGTCACAAAGTCAAAGAGGTGCTGCAAATGGCATATCTATGACAGCAATGTCATTCTTCAAGGCAATTGCTCCAGCAGGAGCAGGAGCTCTGTGAGTACTATAACGTACACAATTTTTCTTAAAGGCAAAAGGTTTTAGCATGAAAATATCATGAAAAAAATACCAATCTTATCATATTAGAGACATAATAACTACTAAGTCCAACAACAGAGTTGAACTAGAAAAGTTTGTGGACTATCAAATTCACAAGTAAAGGAATAATTTTACATTTATTCTGTACTAAAATTGGTATAGAATTTTCATGCAAGTGTGTTATGCTTGTTTTATTTATGAATTGTATAGGTTCTCTTGGGCCCAAGAACGCCAAAATGCAGCCTTCTTCCCAGGTATATAATTGATTTACAAGTTAGAAACCAACTTCTGTTGATAACTATGCATTTTATAGTGCAAGTATAATAAATGTACTGCATCCTTGAAGGTACTAATATCAGATATATTCCATTGATGTTGCAGGGGATCAAATGATATTCTTTGCCCTAAAATGGATTGTCCCCGTTTTGCTTGCGGTCAAGCTTTGATGCTTTGGGGTCAGATCAACATTGTTGTCCGCAGTAGTGGAATCTTCTCTTGATGCTAATTCACCGAGTTCCGTCAAAGTTCTTGGTATAGCATGCTTGTAAAGATTCTTTCTTGAGTTCACAAATCCATGATTTATCCCTGTTAAAGTTAAGAAAAATCAAATATCTCAATGTTAAAATTAGAAATAGTTCCTAAATGTTTCTTTAACACATACCTCTCAATTTTGATTTGTCAAATTTTGTAAGGCATGGAGACATTTAAGTATATTTGAAAGTGATCATTTCTTGTAAGTTTGTAACAAGCAGCTATGATTGTGTGAACAAATTTCAAATACAAATTCAATTTAATGGTACCACCTTTATTAAAAAAAATACGAGATATTTTGTGAAATCATGAGTTTAAGTGAGGGAGGTTACTACTTACCACACCAATTAGATATAGAGTTACATATACCAAGAGTTTACTTGGTTAGACAAAATGCATGCAATAAGAAAAATACTTGTATCCGTTCACTCGAATAAATCATATAAGAAGATACCAAGTGGAGTTAGATAAGAAATACTTACTCCCTCCATCCCAGAATATAAGAAGTAGGTAAAATTAAAGATAGATGTTATAATTGGTTGGGAAGGAAATGTTGGTGAAGAAGTTGTTATATTTTGGGATAAATTCTTAATGCTAAAAGTTGTTATATTTTGGGACGGAGGGAATATCATTTTGTCTATTCTATTTAGACTCAACATGTTAACATGCTAATTTTGTTGCTAAACAAGAATATAAAATACCTGATTGAAATTCATAATTCTGACCAGCTACCAAACGATGGGAAATTTGTAGTATGACTAAAAAGAAAACGAAGTAGCTCAAGATTGTCTTCATATTCTCGCCTTCTTTGTATACAAACTTGTCTTTGTAGATGTAAAAGTGTACCTTGTACATCTAGGCTTTATAGCACAGAGGAATTCTCTTACATAGATACTAAATTTATTAAACATTTTTAAATAGGAATTAATACTCATGTTGGATTCCTTTTTTGGTGTAGCATTTAATACTACTATATGATATGGCTATCTTGATGATATATTTATCAACAATATTAAATTCGGCAGTATTTGTTTTTGCGTGAAAGATAGCATATCTTGAAGATATATGCGTTGAATCTCGTTAAATATGCATCTATATGGTATCGATCTTAGAAGATTTGCATCCACGTCATCCATGATATGGCCTCAATGTTTTCACCCATTGTTAAGTGTAAGTACCTAGAGCTATTTCCTAAATGCAATCCTGACAAAATAAATTCAATTCAAGGTGTCAATTGGGAGCGGATTAAGACGGCCCATTTTGTTTGGGCTGGAGAATCTAGCTAGCACCATGTTACTACTCATGACGGCCCAGTGGGCCACTCTTTATCCAAGTATTCGGCCTTGGCCCAGCTAAGCTAGCGCCTATTAGGGCTCGCCCCCCTGCCCGTGCGCGCCGCCACTTCCAAGTTCCAACCTCCGCCCTCTCTTCTCTTCTCCTCTCTCCTTCTCCCCGAGCTGCCCCTCTTCTCTTCCTCCGATGGGTCGCAAGATCAAAGTCAAGAAGAAGAAGGCATCGAGCAAGGTGAGCGATTGGTGCTGACTGTCTCGCGATATTTTATTTTATTTTATTTTATTTTCATCATGGTTTAATTCGAGCCTAACTCTGCCTCTACTCTTTCTTCAATCTTTATCGGTGGGTGGATTGAAGAAAGCCGAAGCTTCATCGTCTAGGGTGCCTTCTTGCCCAGCCAAGGTGAGAGGGCAAATACATGCCAATTATTACAAGCAGATGCACACATATTTTTCTTTTCTTTTATTTTTTTTGGTAGTTGCAGTGAGAGGAAAAGGTTCGATGTGTGATTAGTTTTTTTTTTCTCCTATAGTTTTAATTTCCTAAGCTAAGGCAAATTGCTCCTGTCACTGCTCTTCGAATGAAACACTGACCCGATTGGTATTTCTTTTCAGGTATGGCAACCTGGTGTGGATACACTGGAAGAAGGGGAGGAGCTCCAGTTCGATCCTCAGGCTTACAATTATCTCAGAGGGTTTAACATTGGCTGGCCGTGCTTGAGGTAAAAGTTCACCATGGCAGCCATTGCGCGCTCCTTATCCGAGGCCAATATGCGCATCATTGTATGGGTTATTTATCCTCATCGATTTGTTATCTGTTGCAGTTTCGATGTTGTGCGGGATCAACTTGGACTCGTGCGATCGGAATTCCCACATACATTATATGGCGTTGCTGGAACTCAGGTTGCATTCTCTCTATAATGCTTTCCTTCAAAATTTACATGATGAATATACATATATTTTCCTATTTTGATTAATGAATTCTGTCAACAACAAAATTAGGATTCCAGTTCGTTTCCATGTCAACTGTGCTCTGTCATGATTCATGGGTGCATTTGACTTTTTTTTTTCCTAGTAACATTCCTTTTCAATCAGTGGTTTTGCCTGCTCCTGAATTGATGGAATCAATCTTTTGTCAACATAGTTTGTGTAATTATGAGTGGTGCCTGTGTTTTCAGGCTGAGAGGGCTTCATGGAATTATATAGGCATTTTCAAGATTTGCAACATAAATGGGAAGAAGCGGGAACCTATACCAGCATCAGCAATTGATGGCGACAGTGATATGGATAGTGAAAGTAGTAGTGATGAAGAAGATGAAGCAGCTAATGAAGACACAATGCCCATTTTACATGTAAGTTCTTTCTCCAAGTGCACAGCTGTGAATTTAGCTATGAATTTTACTTGTTTTGCATCCCAGTTTGCTCATTTGTTACATTACTCTAACATGCTTTGTGTCTGTATGCATGTACAGTTAAAAAAGGTGGCTCATGCGGGGTGTGTAAATCGTATTCGCTCTATGAATCAGGAACCACATATATGTGCAACATGGGGAGACACAGGTCATGTTCAGGTATTTTACTTTGTCTTGCAATACTCCTTTTTTTTACTCTTTTTGATCAAACAAGTCTATTTTTGGTCCCTGAGTTCTTTGCGAGGTCTGAACTCCCCTTAAACTTAATACGGATACCATTAATTGGCATGCTCCCATTGTCATACAAAATCAGAAAAACCCCTGCGTTCAATCTATCTGGTTTTGAGTAGGATCTAGCTTTGCAGTCAGCTTGGCACTGGGCTCATGTAATGATGACCAAAAAAGGATTGTTCGTCCTCCTAGTCACCCATCCACTGCACTGCTGCTACCTTCTGTACATAACCACTGAACACCCCTGAATCAAGTTAGCGGATATTAGCATGCCATGTTAGACAAAACTAGGTATAAGATATTATGATTATTCTGTACAGGTTTTGATTTTTGATAGCCGAGGCACTGAAAGTAAATTGTATCAACGTTTAGAGTGGACTTGTGAGGTAGTCGAGGGATGAAAGCCCTGTTGTTTAGTGGTGGTTCCACTCAATCTGTACATTGGTACCATGTCCTGTTTTCGATGAACATGACATATTGTTATCTATTATATTGCACCCTGAAAACATGCCCAGGAATAGAATCTACCATACCTGCTACTTTGTGCATAATCAAACTGTCTGTTATGTTGCTGCATTTGTAGGTGTGGGACTTCAGCTCCTTCCTTAATTCATTAGCAGAGTCTGGAGCAGTTGCACACAACGAAGACGACAGAATCCATAATCACGTACCTGTGAAAATATTTGGTGGCCATAAAGATGAAGGCTATGCAATTGATTGGAGTCCGCTTGTTACTGGAAGACTTGTTTCTGGTGTGTGATCTTGTCCATGCTATATTTGTTTGTCACGTCCTATGCTGTTTTGCTTAGAAAACCGTGGCCTGTCCTGTGTTAATAGAACATCCATATGCTTTCATTTCGTACATGGGCATTGAGTATATCAATTTAATGATTTGCCTATGCAGGTGATTGCAATAAATGCATCCACCTCTGGGAGCCAACTTCAAACAGTTGGAATGTCGATACAAATCCATTTGTAGGACACACTGCAAGTGTTGAAGATTTGCAGGCATGCCACTGAAAGCATATATACTTCTTGGTGCTCTCTAGAGCACTGAACGTTTGATTATCTCAAACATCTTGACTATATTTTTGCAGTGGAGTCCCACAGAAGCCGACATATTTGCCTCTTGTTCAGCCGACAGAACAATATCTATCTGGGATATACGGACAGGGAAGAAACCTTGTATTTCTGTTAGGGCTCACAATGCTGACGTGAATGTCATCTCATGGAACCGGTATGATATGTTCACTTGAAAATTCGATTATCTTCATAAAAAATTCTTCTAATATTTCATGAATATACGGACTACCATTACCAGGCTCGCTAGCTGTATGATAGCTTCAGGATGCGATGATGGAAGTTTCTCAATTCGTGATCTTAGATTAATCAAGGTACTTCATATTGTTAAGCCACACTGTTCTGTGCTTGTCAGTTGCAAATAGCACACTGAAATGGCATATTCCCTCCATTGCTGTTTTTATGGTTTATTTTCAGTTTGGATTTCTGTCTATGCATTTAATATTTTGGAAGGAAAATGTGGGGTATTGGGTCTTTTGATAGTAATATTGATACAAGATGATTGAACCATTTCATGGATGAATGATATTTTGCATTTTCTTGCTACTAGATTTGTCAAGCCAGAGACGCTATGGTAGATAATTTGTTGCTTCTGATGTCTATATTTAATATGCAGACTCCTGTAGAATACACGCTCTTGTGCAAAAATCAGTGCAGCTAGATAGTTAAACGATAATGTTAATTCTTTGTTATTTGAACACCTTTTACAACTATAATAATTTCTTCTGTTCATATAGTCTCATCTTGCTGTTGAACGACGGTATTCACATCAAAATCATATCTTTTGTTTTATTTTCTACTTCTAGGATGACTCCTTGGTCGCCCATTTTGAATACCACAAGCACCCGATTACATCTGTGGAATGGAGCCCACATGAACCGTCAACACTAGCTGTATCATCAGCTGACCATCAACTGACGTAAGTCTCCTCACTCCAAGTTTTATACCTTATGTTTAAAGTGTGCTGAAATGCCCCAAAAAGAATGCTTTCTTTACTATTTTCTGACTTGCATTTTTCAATCCTGAATTGTTTGTGTACAGAATTTGGGATCTTTCATTGGAAAAAGATGCTGAAGAGGAGGCAGAGTTCAGGGCAAGGATGAGAGAACAGGCTGATGCCCCTGAAGATTTACCCCCACAACTTCTCTTTGTTCATCAGGTACTGTTACCACACTTGTTTTATGTTTACTTCCTCTCATTTTCATATCATTGTGTTCACCATTCCTTGTGTAATTAAAATACATGTTTGTGGACCTCGAGATGTATTTCAAAAGTACAGACACTGTTACTGAGTGAAATCATAAATGTGATGTTGATTGTTTTATGTGCAGGGCCAGAAAGACTTGAAAGAATTGCACTGGCATCCACAGATACCTAGTATGATCATATCTACGGCAGCTGATGGATTCAATATGTTGATGCCCAGCAACATCGATACAACCATTCGAGAAGCTGACGCATAGATTTCTACAGTAGTTGTTTATCTGAATCAAGGTTTCATGGGTTTTTTTTTTTTTTGAAGTGGATGAGTGTAATGATACTGCATGTCTACAAGTATCAGTTTTTGATAGCTTGTATCCTAGTTTCGTTGTCATTCATAGTGGTAGGTTCTCAGTTTTGCACTGATGTCGCCCGAATGAGGATAATCAAAAGTATCTCGATCAACTGAAATGACATGTTATATTCTACAAGATAAGATTAATAATTGTGCATCTCTGTGTTTGCATTAGGTAATATTCACCTCGATCGTTTGTATATTTTTGCCTGATAATTAAGTTGGATATTAGGTCCATCGGCCAGAAATCTGGGTCTTGCAGCAAAATAAGTTGCCCAAGCATCATTCTTGCTGTAAAATCTTGTTCTTAGAAAACCAAGTGGCATGTACCTGGTGGTGTTAATGACACCAAAGGTGCCAATATAAGTTGTTTATTTTATAAGTTCCTTTATCGATTGCTCGCAGAATGTAATCATGTTCTCCTATTATAGCTTGGATGCGATGCGCCACTTTCGGCACTTGACAATCAACTATCTGATACTCCTATTAATCAGCAAAGTTTCTGACACTGTAATCTGAATATTTGTTACTGTTATGGCATCAGAACGTGCAATTCGCTGACTAGAATCAGGATGGATATGTTGTGTGTGAAGCTCTGGTTGGCCATTTGATATCTTTGACAAACTTTATTCGTTTCCGAAAATTTGGCAGCCGCCCATGTTGCCTTTCCGAAGATGCTTATGCTGTTGGTTCGTTTTGTGAAAAAAAATCAGAATCAGAATGTCATCATTCTCCCTGAAACTAGTAGAAAAGAGCATAGCAGCAGCAGCAGCAGCCATCGATCACGATCACTGCACTGCAAGCCTTCAACCTGGAGCAAGTGAGCCATGCCATATTGGCATACGATACGCGAGCAAGTGCCCTCCTTTTTATAGCCAACAGCAAGAGCAAGGCAGATATTAGATAGAATGAAAGTTGGGGAATCAATCAGCGGCAGCTTAATCCTCTCGTCATCTCCATCAATCCATCGTCATTAATCAGAGAATTTGCTTCTTGTGTTACTAATAATCTTTGAGGGGAGGCAATTAATGGACCACCTGACAAAGGAGCAGATCGCCGAGTTCCGGGAGGCATTCAACCTGTTCGACAAAGATGGAGACGGTAATCCAATCAATCAATCAATCAATTGCATGTGTTCTTGGACGATGATCAATCAATGAATCCAGAAGAAAATGCAATGCAGGGACGATCACGAGCAAGGAGCTTGGGACGGTGATGGGGTCGCTGGGGCAGTCGCCGACGGAGGCGGAGCTGAAGAAGATGGTGGAGGAGGTGGACGCGGACGGCAGCGGCAGCATCGAGTTCGAGGAGTTCCTGGGCCTCCTCGCCCGCAAGCTTCGCGACACCGGCGCCGAGGACGACATCCGCGACGCCTTCCGCGTCTTCGACAAGGACCAGAACGGCTTCATCACCCCCGACGAGCTCCGCCACGTCATGGCCAACCTCAGCGACCCCCTCTCCGACGACGAGCTCGCCGACATGCTCCACGAGGCCGACTCCGACGGCGACGGCCAGATCAACTACAACGAGTTCCTCAAGGTCATGATGGCAAAGTCAGTCTCTCTCTTCTTCCTTCCTCCCATTTCATTTCTTTTCTGCTTTCTTGATTTCTTTTTCTTTTTCTTTTCTCCATGTAGATTATTACTAGCACTGGAATTACAAATCTTTTCTAGATTATCATTATATTTCTTCTTCCTATTTAATCTGCAAATGTTGCTTCTGCTGAACTGTACATAATGTAGTGCATTCGTCATCAGATAATCATATTTATCTGAACAACTTTGGTGCTATCATATGCAGGCGAAGGCAGAATATGATGGAGGGACATGGAAGTGGAGGCCATCGGTCAAGTAACTCCCACAAGAAATCCGGCTGCTGCGGCCCGAATTCCTCATGTACCATCCTCTGAAAAAGATGTAGGTTTCAGGTTTGCAACTGTTCTGATGAGGATTGTATAGTTCAGAGTTTTTTTTTTGTCACCTCAATTTCTGGTTACACTTGTTCTGGGGCTATGCAAACAAGAAAATCAAACAACTACACAGTGTAAATGAAAATGAATAATGCTGGCCAATTAATATACTTGTTCCTCACAAGATTCTGATTTACATACAAAACTTGACACACAAAACCCATTGAGTGATCAGCTTCACTTGAGCTATCACAAGGGTTCTCTGACAAATAAGAGCAGCATTTACAACACTAGTGGAGACCAAACATAGTTTACAGGGCCACTCACATCTAATTACAGATGCAATGAACATGCTTTCTGCTTTTCCAGCCTCTAGAAATGGGAATGCTGATTCAAAAGAATGGGATGCTAAAATAGTTCACCCATTCCTCCTCTCCCAAGTTACTCTAGGAAAGTTGATTTTGAAGATCATCTGATTTCCAAACAACATCCTTTAAGGTTCTGGAGAGGTTCTTGTAGAACTGCAACACATTACAAGTTTGAAGTGATTCAGTACAAGCCATTCAACCAAATGTTGCAAAAGAAAAAAAAAACATAGTCATAATTCTGTGAGTAGTTGATCCAATCATCAAAGCACTGACTCAATTTTCCAATGATAATTCATGAGCATCAACTTTTAATTGGCATGATCTACCTTATGAAATTCGAGGGTGTCGCCTTTTGCTTTTCGTACTTCAACCATATGAAGAGAGGGTGCAACCTGCAGTATCTGAATAATAGTGCACAATAAATGTTAGATTGAAGAAGCTTACACAAACCAGATTGCAGTATAGCAGTTCTTCATATTACCTCAGTAGCAACATTGAGATTTCCTTTTCTCCCTGCTTTTACCTTTTCCAACCTTAACTGGTCAATCAATAAAAAAAAATTCAGCACGTAGAAAATATATATTTGAATTTGCTATAAATTGTCCCTAGAACCCATTACTTTAAAACGGATATTCATGCAGATAGTTGTTAGGCAAGGGGAGCATACCTTGTAATTTTTCTTCTGAACATCAAATCCTAGAGGTTTTGCGGCTTCCTCAATCTTGCGGACAATTTCTTTTGGTGGACATTTTGATGTGAACCTTGTTTCTCTTTTGAATTCCTGAAATAGTGTGAACAAAATTAAAGTACAGCAGAATAAGTTGCAAAACTATAACAAAGTTATGGCAGAATTATGAGGTGCAAAAATCAAAAGACATTCTGACCAATGAACTACTACATATATTCTGGGACTTGTGACATGCAGCATTCTCCAACCATATGATTGAGTAAATTGACAAAGTGCCAGTGAGCCAGTTTACATGTTTCCAGCTTGATTTAGGGAGGTATAAGTTGAACCAAAAACAATGACGCTTAACTTTAAGTTACAGGTTCGTTCATAAAAATAATACAGGGAGAATAGGTTCAAAAGGTTGTTGGTCAATATTGATTAAATAGGGAGATCACGTACCTGCTCTGAATCAAACAAATTCCCAAGATTGAGGCCTGCTGACATTGAAATCAGTTCAAATGCATTGAGAGCTTCTGGTTCTTCTTTCTTTTCTGTCACATGGTGCTCCTGGAGGAGGTCAAATCACAGTGGTCAAACCATTTAGCAACTGGCATGCTTTTATCTTCATGTCATGTGAAACAGAAATTCAAGTGCATATTGCAGTTTACTCACTTCAGAGTCATTGAAGACAGCATAAACATCATCCAATGTTGTGTCATATTTTTCGTCAAACTCTGGGCGTTTGTAGCCCTTTTTGAACCACTCATCCTCTAATATTTCTGGAATTGTTACTCTCTACAACAGTAGCTCAAGTAGTTAGCTTAAGAAATCATCCAATGTTGTGTCACGAAGAAAGATGATATTATTTTATTAGTTATTACTATCTGTTTTAATGATTATTATTAAGCATAGAAGAGCTTTCTAAAAGGAGTGCTAGCCCCTGTAGAATTGAGTATTATCTGGTTGATGAATGCTACAGGCATTACAGGATCTACTGTGTTATTAGAAGACACATTACAGTGCCTTCAGTGATGCATTATACCTAATTATCTACTATGTTATTCAGTTGTTCTAGCATACCGTCATTGGGTTTGGATCAAGGATTCTTGTTAACAACCTCTTGGCAGGAAAAGACGTCCAAGGTGGAAACGTAAACTCTGCATTTGATATCTGCCAGGAAGTGCAGAGAAGAATCAAATAAGCATGAAATATTAATACAACAAAAATGATCTAAAAGTGGTACAATTCTCACTTTCTTATACAACGTCATAAGATTAGAGTCCTCAAAAGGCAAATACCCTGCTAGCAGAACGAACAGGATAACTCCACATGACCACAAATCTGCCATTGCTCCATCATATCCTTGATCTTCAAGGACCTATCACAAAGGTGGATGAAATGTGTGAATTATTAATGGCTTCTGATGAAAAATAGTTCCAAGTATGGTAGGTTAAAATTCTATAATTTCTCTTTCTGACATTACCTCCGGTGCAACATAATTTGGTGTCCCGCAGGTTGTGTGCAGCAAACCATCATCCTGAACAAGGCCACAAAGAAAAAAGAAATATTAATTGAAGAGACATATAACGATTATCTAATAATTTCTGAACTGTAATATTTGTAGCCTGTTGGTACATACTTAGATGATACAGTATAAAGCAATAAACCTTTACCTTAATTTGCTGAGAAAGTGCACTCAGCCCAAAATCAGAGACCTTCAGATTCCCATATGAATCTAGTAGTAAATTTTCTGGCTGCAAGTATTGTAATTTAGATTGTTTCTTTTGGAAGGAAGCTTAGATTCTGAAATATATTTCTTGTTGACAAAAGAGGCAGCAGAGGAAAGGGAGATGAACTCACTTTTAAGTCCCTGTGGTACACACCCCTGCTATGACAATAATCAACAGCATTAATTAATTGTTGGAAGTACCTTCTTGCCTCATCTTCCCTCATACGACCATGGTTAACCTAAATACAAAAGGGAATTCAAGTAAATGTCATTACAAATTAAAAATGTATTTTTATATGTGTTTTGAAAAGAAGATATAACTATTTAAATTGGAAATGGACAACATAGCAGAATCACTTACAATTGTATCAAAGAGCTCACCACCGGTAACATATTCTAAAACAATGTAGATTTTTGTCTTGCTTCCCATCACCTGAAATCAGAGAGAACATTGATTTGACGATTAGCAGTGTCCCCTAATAAAAAGATTCTGACTAATTGCATCTGGAATTTCTGTAAACAAAATTATGATTAATGATGGCTCCCATCGGATGGCCTAATCAGCCAAAGAAAAAGCCAAAATTTAAATTTTTAAACTTAATTTTGAGATTGATTTTGAAATATTTTCAACGTAGTTTGTTTTTTAGCATTGGCTTTTAAGTTACCAAGAACACATATATAAAAGTTTTACCTACAAATTCATTTTTATTTCCTAATAAGCCGTTTTGGCTTATTAGGAAAAAAGCCAAACGATGGGGCCTATAGATACTTTGATGTTCTGGCATGGACCCTAGACATGCTTTAAAAACCTTTCTCTCTTCCTAGCTATTTTCTGCTGAACAAATATAGGATTAACTGAGATACCAACACAAAAGGAAGAGAATATTTTTAATTACCTCATATATACGGACAACATTTGGGTGCTTAATCAACTTCATTGTCGAAATTTCCCTTTTAATCTGCATTCCAAAAACAGAGTTACCCATCAGCAAAAGGTATTACTTCCATCAAAAGCTACTAAACCCTGAACAAAGTGCCATGTTTTTTGTCCCATGAAAGTAATTAACAGGCAAAAAGAATCGGAAGGACAGTCACTTAAATAAAGGGAAATCTGAAGGACAGGATCATAATATTCCAGATGTGAAATATCACCAAACAATTAAAGGTGCTACAATAATTCAGATTCAGAACTTGGTCGTTAGCTGGTGTTTGACAGTGACCTGTTCGACCATCTTATGCTTGAGAACTTTCTCCTTATCTAGGATCTTGATGGCTACTGGATCACCGGTCTCGGTATCCCTCGCGAACTTGACCTTCGCGAATGTGCCCTCTCCGATTGTTCTTCCTAGCTCATACTTTCCCACACGTCTCTTCACTTTGGTTGTACTCATCCCCTGCCTTGTGACCCTTTGGAATCTCAGAGAGCTTCCACGCCCTTGAAGATGCTTTCACTTCACTGTCCTGTGGAAAACGTTTGCTCAGTTACTGTTGATACATGGAAAAAGATGAATAGATGATACATGATAAAGATGTTTTGTGTATGTGCGATTGTGTGAACAAATTTCATCCGGAGCCTATTCATTATTAGCTGAAAAAGATCGGAAGCCTGTTGACAAACTTGTAGGTACAGGAGCACAATGACATGTACATGCTGTATTTCTCATCTTATTTCTTCCCCAAAATGATATATGCACTAGTCAAATTTTAGTCTTTGAAAACATATAATAGTATCTTCTGCTACAGAGACACACATGCAAAGCTGTTGAGCAATCAGTTCTCCAAGATTTTATAGTGTGTAAGATACCATAAGATTTGTGGACTAGTCAATTAAATTAATTGGTAGTAAGTTAGAAGATCATGTGAATCCATTAATTTATTTTTCCGAAAACTTGACCGATCAATTTGCAGTAGAAAAAGGAAAGAGAGCATCATTTGGATCTGGACAGCATATTTAGTCAATGAGACACGAGGAAGCTGCAAAGAAGCTATTGAATATTCATCAAAGGTTAAGAGGGCAGGGCATATTTCCAGAAACAGTACAAATCAAGAATATTTCTTTTTGAAATAACACAAATCAAGATCATTAAGCGGATAGAACTCTCAAACAGGAAAGGCAGGAACTTTTTTTATGTATGGATCGAGGAGCAGCAAGACGAAGAAGGTTCGAGAATGAACACATATTCAGATATTCTCAGTCGTCAGGAACTGAAGTACTCCACCAAAGTAACCCTGGAAGCAGTTTCCATAGGATTACTGGTAGGGTAGAAATAATCACATCCCAGCAGCTTGTAGTTAGCAGTGATGAACCCACAGGAGTAAACGGGGACAGAAAATTTCAAGAAAGCCGAGAAAATCTCCAATGGATACAGAAACGACAAGCTAAATTCAGCAACCTTATTCTCTCAGCACACAGCACCAAACAACATCTACAGAGATTGAAAAGGAAACAACGCACACAATGCAAAGAAAGTTGCAGAGATAGCTAGAGAGGGGATGAAAGCAATTTAGTAGGTTGGAGAAATCAAGAAGAGAAGAGGCATCAGAACGACTCACCGGCAATTAAGCTGAAATCTGCAAAAGACTGCAATGCAATTCGATCGATCTGCGGCTGCTCTTATGGCGATGGAAGAAGAGTAGTAGAAGAGGAGGAGATCCCAGGAAAGGGAAATGGCTGCTGAGATCAGGAAGAGGCGAGGAAGAGCAGTAGTGGTGGCAGCAACAGCATGTATGAAAGGAGAGGTTGAAGAAGAAGAAGAGGAGACGAGAGTGAGTTGGAATGAATGACCCCGGGTCCGGGGTGCTTCACATGGACAAAGCTCCAAGCTGACAGACAGTGGGGCCCATGAAATGGAACGGCTGTCAGAAATGGGACCCACTGCCACACAGGAAGGAGAGAGAGAAAAGTAGGTAGAGACTGCAGCGTGGAGTGATGATTCCGACGGAGATGGGCGCCGCATGACAAAACATGGCAGGTTCCAGTTCCACGTGTTGTTTCACCACGCCTCAATTTCTTTTTGATTCGATCTACGCCTGCCATTTTCGACCTCATCTCGATCGGTACTCGATCACTTTTATTCTACCACTGTCAGGGGATGTTTGGTTGATTCACTTTACCGTACCACATTTTAATTACGAACTAGTTTCACAATTTTACTAGATGGTTAAATAAAATATTGTATTTATGGATTATTTTTACACTGCATTATAGATGTTCTTATACTATAATCCTTCTATAAAAAAAAAGATAAACCATGGGTTTCCGTGTCCAACGTTTGACCGTCCGTCTTATTTGAAAAAATTATGAAAAAAATTAAAAAGACAAGTCATGCATAAAGTATTAATCATGTTTTATCATCTAACAATAATGAAAATACTAATTATAAAAAAATTTCATATAAGACAGACAGTCAAACGTTGGACACAGAAACTTAGGGTTTATTTTTTTAGACGGAGGGAATACTTTATTAATCACTAGTTTTTATTATCCCAACTATGTTGTGCCACGCTTTGTTAGCCACGGAATCCTTATGTCATACTCACATATTTAGAGTTAGCCATATCACACTTGTGGTCAATTATTTTTTTAACCACACTTCTTATCCCATGTCATAACTTATCTAACCTTAGTTATGGCAAGCTTAAGCATCAACCAAACATCCTCTCAGTGGGGATTAGAGAGACTTTCTCCTGAAAATAAAATATTGGATCCTCATGAGAATCAACTACGTTGCATTGTTAGAATCTATGTTTCATATTTAAGGAAGTTATAGAAGACCGGTATCGATAGTTTATCATAAAAGAATGAACTTACAAAGTTGTTTATCTTTTCTACATGTGCATTATGTTATTAGAGGTTGTAATCATCTATGATGAATGACTATTTTGAAAAAGCCGAAGTTAACGTCAGTAGAGATGGAGATAGGAAAAAATTGGTTGGAGCACAGCTACCTATTTAGTCATCAGCAATACACGAGCTCCAAACGAAAAGAAAAACATACAAGCTGCGATTAGCGATACAACCTAAAGCTTCAATGAGTGATCCCAAAGGTCACCTAGGCTAAAGTCTGGGTTTTTTCCACAATACAAAGTAGCCTTATAGGTAACTTCTATTTTTTTTTATTTTACCTCTGATAGTTTTTTATTTAGTCCTCATTTTCTTACCTTTGTGAAAGTCCAATTTTTTGTGGCTTCCTAAAATTTAAAAGTATATAAAATCTATCTCCCACTCCTATTCTATCTGCATCACTCACTCTCTCTCTCCTCTATGCGTCGGCACCCAACCATTGCCATGTACACCGTCCTCCCCCATGCTAGCATCGTCCTCTCCTCCCACTGATCACCACTAGCATCCTCTCATCCTCGGATTGGGAGGGGAGCTCGGTGGGACGAGAGAAGCTCGATGGCGGTGACTTGCTCAACCTTAGCAGATCGGGCGACAGTATCGACCTCTGTGATGGATAGAGCTAGCACAGATCGAAGCAACCCTTGTTCTACTTCGTCGTTGATGAGTGCAAATCCAGACATTGTGGGCCGATGACCGCACATTGAATGCCAATATTAATTCGAGCGGATGATGTGGTGTATGGAGCAACAATGGCAGTGGTTGGGGACCACTACTTTTCTCTCTCAAATCACCATGTCCTTATAGGCTACATAGCCCCTTTGCAAGCCACACTCTTTTTCTACTCTCTCTCTCTCCCTCATAGTAGCTCGGCACCAATGTGAATTGGTGAAACCATGCTCTACCTTGGAGTGTTAGGCATAGCCTAAAGAAATGGCCACAAGCCTAAGTGCAAGTGAGATGAGATGCTAGATGACGCTAGTTAGTGCTTCCTCTATTTTGTTTTTTAATAGATGATAGTGTTAATTTTTATACACGTTTGACTATTCATTTTATTCAAAAATTTTGTGCAAAATGCATGATATAAATTATACTCAAAATACTTTCAGTGATAAAATAACTCACAACAAAACTTTTTTTTAGATAATGAAATATAACATCCCGGTCTTTGCTTAAGAGAGCTACAATCTATTATTACAATCTAGCACTCCACATCGAGTGTAGTTCAAAAAAGAAAGCAAACATCACGGAAAGATAAAAATGAACCAATAAATAATAAGGTGAATATATTATTGAAGTCTATTTGTGAATCTCCACTCATAATTGGCAAAAAACTGCATAACCGTCGACTCAAGCTTGCGGCATGCAACTTTTAGGACCTCTCCGTCTTCGTCACACCTTTGTAATTGTGCCCAACACCAGAGTCAATAAACGATAACTACGTAAACAATTTAAATAAGACGAATTGTTAACTTGTGTCAAAAATCAACGGTATCGTACGTGCATTAAAAGACAGAAAACATGATATTTATATGATAAGCTAGTTTATTTTAGCTGATATGGACATATATCGAAGATTATAGTTTCTTCTTATTGACCTTGCGCTTAGTATTTGCAACATCAGTCGATGCGTATCTGGATAGGGTATGCACGACGTCGCGAGACGCGAGCTAGTTTGTACGTACGAATTTCGATTGAGGGTGGGGGATAGGGTATCCATCGATCGGTGGATCGATCAGATCTTTGACCGATGTACGTACGTAGGTACGATCCAATCATGCAAAGCTAGGTGTGATCCGATTATGTGGCCGGCCATCTGTCATTTGCATTATTGTGGTCGGAGGCCCCAGTTTATTAATAAAGGGATTTGCAAATCAATTCTAATCCTAGCTTAGCTACTAATCTGTTCTCGGTTAGTTTCTCAATTATTGTCCAAGACTATACACTCCCTATCTTCCAGCAGCGCGGAAACGTAAGCGGTAGGCGGTACGCTAAGGTACGAATGTGACTTGAGCGAATTAATATATACACCCTTTCCGTTTCATATCACATATTTATAAAACACTTTAATAAATACTCCATCAGTTACATATTATAAAATTTTCTAGCATTACCTACATCAATATAATCTTAATATATATATCTAGATTCATTAACATATATATATGAATGTGAATAATGCTAGAAAATTTTATAATATAAAACAGAGGAAGTATATAGTATATTTGTTTTGTGTTAAAAATATTATTATCACTACTAGAAAAACGATTTTTCATGGCGTTACCATATAATTTTCGCTGGCGGCCATACGCAAAAACCAGCAGCAAAAATATAACGAGGGGAGGGGAGTTACGGACCGCTAGCGAAAACCAATTTTCATTGGCGGCCACGCTAAAAGGTTCGCCATAAAAGAAACTCTATTTTTCGTTGCGGACCTCTTAAGTGTCCGCCACGGAAAATCCGATTTTAGGTGGCGGACCGTGAAGAGCACCGCTACAAAAAAATATGTTTCAGCGCTACTAAAAATCCACCGCCTGCCCAACGCATCACTATTAAAAATCACCCACCCACCCACGTCTCCTCGGTCTCCTCGGCTCCCCCACCCACCCATGTCTCCTTCCTCCTTCCTCCACCACCCACGTCTCCTTCCTCCTTCCTCCACTCCCTCCTTTCTCCCTCCTAGCCTTCTCCCTCCCACCTCTCCCCAGCGGCGGCCGGTTGTGGCAAACGGAGAAAGGTTGCGGCCGGCTGCGCCCTCTCGCCAGATATGGGGGCGACGGCAGTGGCGGGGAAGGGGCGGCGGCTGGCTGCGGCAAAGGGCGACGGTAGCGGCGGGGAAGGGTCGGCCGGCTACGGTGGCAGGCGATGAGTCCGGCGAAGAGCTCTCCTTCTCCCTCCCACCTCTCCCTAGCAGCGGCCGGCTGCGCCCTCTTGCCAGATATGGGGGTGGCGGCAGCGGCGGGGAAGGGATGGCAACCGGCTGCGGTGGCGGGCGACGAGTCCGGCAGCAAGCTCCCCTTCTCCCTCCCACCTCTCCCCAGCGGCGGCCGGCTGCGCCCTCTTGCCAGATCTGGGGCAACAGCAGCGGCGGGGAAGGGGCGGCGGCTGGCTGCGGCAAAGGGCAACGATAGCGGCGGGGAAGGGACGGGGGCCGGCTGCGGTGGTGGGCGACGGGTCCGGCGGTGGGCTCTCCTTCTCCCTCTCCCTCCTCCGCTGCCGCTAGCTGCCGTCGCCACCACCGCCGTGGGCTGCCGCTAGCTAGGGGACGGCCGAATCCGGTCGCCGCGATGTCGGGGAGGCCGGATCCGCCGCCGCCGACGACCTGGGAGGCCGGATCCGCCGCCGCGACGACCTGGGAGGCCAGATCTGCCGCTGACGCCGACGGGGGCAGCGCCGCGACGACTTCAAATTTTTTTTCTGATGCTTGAATGCTTGGGTGAATGGAAATTTTTTAATGTAAATTGTTGATGTAATTTTCTGTTGATTTTTGAATGCGTGGTTAAATTTCTGTGAAAATTTTGAATGGTGGAGCATTGACGGAGGCGGATAGAGCTCCGTCCGTCGCTTTTTTTAAAAAAAAATTGGCCAGCATTTTCACTAGCGGCTGGCACAGTGAAACCCGCCAGTGAAAAAACATTTTCGCTGGCGACCGTCTTGTGGCGAGCTTAAGACGACCGCCAGCAAAAATAAATTATTGCTGGCGGTCGATAACCGCTAGCGAAGATCTTGATTTTCACTGGCCTTTGCTTCGTGGCGGCTAGGAATTCCGTCAGCGAAAACCCAAAATGGCGGCCATGAAAAATAGTTTTCGTATTAGTGTTTTATTTTTTACAAATTTGATTAAATTCAAATAAATATGAACGAAATGTCTTGTAATATAAAATGGATGAAGATTTTTTTTTATACAGTACAATGATGCTTTGTGTCTGCATGGCCGTCGACGCTCCTAGCTAGTTTAGCTGCTCTGGATAAAGCCGATCGGCTGGGGTTCAGCCAGCTAACCAATCACCATTAGTCGTTGATCATGTCATAATCGAGCTACATTTCTTTAATGGAAATGCCTTCTGCTAAAAAAATTCATTTAACATAATCGAGTACGTCTTCGTCCTACTAAACAAATTAGCATACATGCATGTATATCAATTTTCAAAATCACACGAGTTGCATGCACAAACAGAATATATATATTAGGATATCTTATTATTAGGTGATCTCTGTCTTGCTTAATTCCCTTCTGGGCAGTACAGAGATGCGGATATCCATTCTACAGTACTACACCGGAAAATTGACCTGCAGCAAGTACATGCATACGCATGCTGATCTATTCTAATTAATCTATCTGTCCGGCCGGCCGGAAAGAGAGAGATCATGCCGCAAAAGTCGTACTTACTCTTTTGAGTCGCTGTTTGTAATTATTTAAAAAAATTATGATATTATTATTTATTTTTTTACTTGCTTCATTATTAAAAATATTTTAAGTATGATTTATTTTTTTATTTACACTAATTTTTTACATAACATGGATGATCGAATGGTCAAATTGGTCAAACATTTTAAGGAAAAAAAATCAAAACGACATCTAATTTAGAACGGAGGTAATACGTTTGATTTTGACTGAAACTAGCTTGCAGGATAAACAGAGATAGTAGATACAGATTTGAGCATATATAAATCATACTGCCTAGCTAGCCACAAACGTGAATGAACAGGTAGGGAGACCGATGGAAATAATGGATTATGCATGTGCATAGTAATAAACGTGAGCATGCAATGCAAGGTCGTAAGTAACCTGCAGGAGGCAACGATTAATCATTAATCGACAAGATTGGAGACGTGAACATTGCATTGCCCCCATCTCCATGATAGAACTAGCTACTAGCTAGTACTCCAATATAAGGGCATCCTACTGCTAGTCTGCTAGCAGCATGCAGCTGGGCCATGGCGCCATGTATCAGCCATGGTCCCATGGATGCAAACAAAACACAGTGCATCGATCGTTCGGTGTAGTCGATCGTTCGGTGTAGTCGATCGTCTCTGCATTTGCATCAATGTACAAAAAAAGTGCTACTGATCCGTACTTTAATTTTACAGTTATTCAATCAATATTTTTATTACTCACTCCTTCCAAAAAACTGAGACCTATTTCTTTTTTCATCAAAACCAAAAAGCAATTAACTCACTCACCATGTGGCAAAACCAATGAACATTCAACCAATAAGTACTAGAATGGCTTCTTGTTTTCTGATTAACAATTTAATTTAGCATATAGTGACTGTAAATAGGACTCAGATTTTTGGAAGGAGTGAGTATATATATGATTACTACATCTGTCTTATATAAATATATAATTATATATTTTCCTATCATTGGAGTATATCTTTTCTTCTTCCAAGTAGGTAAATAATCGTTTTTATCTCTTAATTCTCTTATGTTATGCTAGTGAGTACTATAAATATTATAATAATATGGCAACTTTTAAACTTTACAATGCAATTACAATGTAAATGTATACGTATAATTTATAGTGTAAAAACAACTCTCTCTCTCTCTCTCTATAAAGAAGATGTGACAGAAATTGTGATGTTATAAATATGAGACTGTCTATACATCTGTTAACAGAAAATCCCACCTCTCATCTTTCAAATTCTGGACCGTTGAATATGCTTTAGGATTCATGCACAGCTTTAACTCTAACTTTTTCCTCCCATTCCCCTCCTCTTCGCGCATTCCGCCGCCGCCGCTACCCTCGCGTGTTCCATCTCGCCACTGCTCGATCCACCGCCGCCAGCGCCCCACTGTGCCGCCGCCCGTCTCGCCGACTGGCCGAAGGGCGTCAATGGCACCGGTGAGGCCACCCGGCCAGCCCCCTCCCCTCCCCTTCCCCCTCTCCTTCCCCTCCCTTTCCTTTTCTTTCCTCAAGCCGATGGCGGCGCTGTCGTCTTCCTCGTCTCCGAAGGTGGGGCGCCACCACTGACCGCCTCCTATCTACCTTTCCGCTTTGCCCCCACCGCCAGCTTCCGACCCCGCAGCTTTAGCGGCGCCGCCGCCGCCTTCGCCGCCCACCGCCGGACTGTTGCCTCCCACGACCATCCCTCTAAAGCTGGCGAACTCCACCCTCTTCCCCCTCCCTCTCCCACCCCTCCTACCACCACCCCAACTCGGGACCCTAACCCGTAGGGTCCTCTGCCGGAGCCTAGGGTATTGCCGACGCCGGAGAAAAAGAGGAGGTCGCCGAAGTTGGAGGAGAATGCCTGGAGCACGAATCATAAAGCTTATCCAGTGGTCCAAAATCTGTAATATTTGGAGAAAAATCTGTAAGATTTGGAGATGTGTTTTCTATCGAGTCGACAAGGTTAGCAATTCCGTATAAGGGTAAGATAGTTAGCCAGTATTTTTTATTTGGGGCAGCCCAAACTGCCTAACTAGTTTAAAGCCGGTAAAGGCAAAGCCTGCTTGCAGCGGTAGTCCTTCCGTTGTTTGATTTGGGCTAGGCCCATTAGCCCACTAAGGCCCAGCCCGTGTAGCTAGCGGCCGGCTGCATGCATTGCATGCTTATGCTGACGATTACCAGTCCTTTTTTTTGGGAGAAATTTTCAGGACGATTAGTGGAGTGGAGTACGGTACGAACCTTACCTAAATATGTACCTAATCCCACTGCAACTACTCCGTACGTAGCAATTTTAAGCTGAAACACAATGTGGTTTAATTTGATTCGATCGAGTCAAGCACGTACTTACATGTATACTTGATGACAACGACGACTAATATAATCGAAGGCAAATTGCACAGACCAACAATTTCCTTCTGTATTAAATATTTGTTAGCTGCTGCTACGTATAATTAAGGAGGCCAGACCTGCATCCAACTGCGTAGTAGTGTCTGCATCGTCGATGATCAGAGGCAGAGCAAAAGCAAGATAACGGCTTGGTGTAACAAACAAAACTGCGAAGAGATCGAGCTAAAGGCAAGAATTGTGACGACGACGCACCGCACTTGCACGGCTAGAACAACCAAACTCATCATCCATCATTATTTCCCATTCTTTTAAAGTTCGTCTTTCCGGCGCCGTAACCAACACTTGATACTAAATCCCAGCCGCCCATGCTTCAATATCGATCGATAAATGGAAGCAAGAACTACTATATAAGTTAGCCGATCGATCGATAGATATATATATAGATAGAGCGCGTTTTGCACACGCATATATCCATCGATCGATTGATCATGCGCTTTAGTCGTCACTTGTCCAACTAGCTAGCTCTACTTCCATATATCGATCGTCCATGATGGCGGCGGCGGCGGCCTGCACGAAGCTGCCGTTGCTGCTCCTGCTCGTCGCCGTCGCCGTCGCAGCGTCGTCGGCGTCGTCACTAACGCCGCAGCACGCGGCCGTGCCGGAGAAGGGACCTCGCCCCGGCGGCGGCGGCGTTACCTTGCACCTCGACCACCGCCAGGTAATTAACTATACGCGTATGTGCTTAATTATATTAGCGATCTGCAGTTAGTATTAGCTATCGATCAGATCATCCATGCGTTTCGACCGAATTACGCGTACGTTGTTTAATTAAGCTGACTGATATATACTGCATCTGCATGCATGCAGGTGATGGTGGACAATGGCATCGTGCAGGTGTCGCTGTCAAAACCTGGGGGCCACATCACCGGCGTCCGATACAACGGCGAACGCAACCTGCTCCGCTTCGACGGACAACCCAACTCCGCAGGGTATATTACACTCCATCCATCTCTCCATCGGTGTAACTACTATATATAGTTTTCTTGCTCTTTAACTAATTACTCAGTTCTTTCAATTTCTCAAAACATACTTAGTACATACCTGCCTGTCTTTTTTTAATTTTTTTCTCAAAAAGTTCAAATTCAACTTCTACATGTTATAAAAAAATAACAAATATAATTATTATGGTACGATAACTATTTTCAGTTAAATTTGTTGTTTCTATTGCAACTTGTAAAAGTTGAATTTAGCCTTACATATTTGTGAAATTATATATATTTTATATTAATCTATGTTATCATATTTTTAATTTTTTTTTGTGATTATCTTAGATGACACATGTAAAAAAAAAGATGATATTCCCTTGATAGATGAAAAGCCATCTTTATGTTACATACCAGTTACATCTAACCATATATAATTAATTTGATCTTGGTCTGTCTGCAGGTACTGGGATGTGGTATGGAATTTCCCCGGATCCAATAATCCAAGAGGCATGATCGATATGTACGTCATTACTTCTTAACTTTATTGTAAATTAAGTCATTTATATATCGCCTGCTAACTATACTTTGCTTGGTATATATGCATGCGCTTTGATCTTTCCTGTGTTTAAGGTCCTCAATTCATTTTTTGTTCTAAACTGAAAAGGATGCATCCATATGCTACTTTAATTAGAGTCATCCAAAATCATCATCTTTGCGTGTGTTCTTATTCCACATTTGTATATATGATCTGACTACTGTTCAATCTCAATTTATTTCTAATTTATACCACTTTTCTACTTGGAATGTGCAAAATAAATGTCAGTTAGAAAGTTGGATAAACTAATACTCTCGTTCTAACTGAACAACTGAAGTAGGTACATAATCTGAAAGTCACTACCAGCCAGTGAGCAGGTACTTGCCTAGCTTGCTGTAGTTAATAGTGTTCTTGTTTTATTGCCTTGATCTGTTACAGCTCATAACATAATTAACAAGATCAACCTACCCAATAACCACAATATAACAGTACTAGTTCGATTTAACACCACTTGAACATATAGCTACCAGCCTGTTAATTGTAATCAATATTATTTCTTTTGAACCACCCATATTCATATGGATTGAAGAACTTGCCTTCAGGCCAGATAACAAACAAGCTCTTGTTGTGAGTAAAATATGAGCAAGCCTTTGCAGTTCATCACTCTGCACCGAAAGATGCCTCCTAATAGCAATAGTACCAAGAGCAACCTGTAACTGTGACTTCAGTTCTTTTCTGATAAGCAAACGGTGTTAAACACCGTCAGAAATTACTGCCTAATAAACAGAGGATATGTACAAGAGCTCAAATGATTTTCTTTCTGGAAAACATAATTTCACAGTAATGTAAAATAGTATGCACTGCACCTTATTACGGGCTACAGCTGAACGAATTATGCTTTTCTCTCAAAAAGGATGAACTAAATGACTGAATTTTCACAGGCTGGATAGTACTGAATTCAAGGTAGTATCCTCAAGTGAAGATCAAGTGGAGCTTTCCTTCAGGAGCACCTACAATCCATCACGTCCAAATAGTGTCAGGCTAAACATCGACAAGAGGTACTCCTTTAGAATTTTCGGACCTATATTAATAAATTTGGCTATAATTTATCCTGCCATATAGTGGTAGTATACAAATATCACTGCCATTTTACGATTGCTGCTCTAAAATTTGTGCAGGCTTGTGATGCTGAAAGGTAGCTCAGGATTCTACTGCTATGCCATCTTTGAGCATGTCAGGGACTGGCCTGCTCTCAACATTTCAGAGGCTCGCCTCGCCTTCAAACTGAACACGGACAAGTGAGTATTCCTTCTCAAAAATTGTTCTCTGAAGACATTCAATATTTGCTTGATCTGCAGTCTAATCTTGAAAACATGTGTTCATGAACGTTTTGTCAGGTTCAACTACATGGCGATCTCAGACGATATACAGAGGTTTATGCCGAGTGCGACAGACAGAGATGCACCTCGCGGTGCTCCATTGGCATACAAGGAGGCTGTCCTGCTCGTTGATCCCAAGGAACCACAGTTCAGAGGAGAGGTAATTAACTAACCGAATTCTGAAACATCTTGCACGCCAAATTAATCAGGCTGTCATCTTTTAATCGACTGTTTGATGTATGCATCTGGTGATTTTCTGAATTTGTGATGTACTAGGTGGATGACAAGTACGAGTACTCGCTGGACAACAAGGACAACAGAGTTCATGGATGGATTAGCAGCAATCACCCTAACCCCATGGGATTCTGGGTGATCACCCCCAGCAACGAGTTCAAGAGCGGCGGCCCTCTCAAGCGAGAGCTCACCTCCCATGTCGGCCCGACCTCTCTGACAGTAAGATCAATCAGTTCACCCTACAACTAATTACTATTCCTCCCCGCAAAAAAAAAAAACAATTACTATTCCTAATAACGAACTCTGCACTTGGAATCTTGGTACAGAGAGAAAACTGAAATTTTGGTTCGTGTCAGATGTTTCTTGGCACGCATTACGTCGGGAATGACATTGTTCTGAAGATTGAGGAGGGGGAGTACTGGAAGAAGGTGATGGGCCCGGTGTTCATCTACCTCAACTCCAATCCGAGGAGAGGAGATCTGCATTCGCTTTGGGTGGATGCCAAGTTGCAGGCAGAAGCTGAAGCTAGGAAATGGCCATACAGCTTCCCTGTATCCCCTGACTTCCACAAGGCAAGTCAGAGAGGATCAGTCACCGGGAGGCTATTTGTCAGAGACAGGTAAGATTCATTACTTTCATAGTTTCAACTCCACACAGGTACATGATGACTTGCATTTCATGGGTCAAGATTGTTCATGGATCATCATCTCTGAAACGTTGATAATGTGTTTGTTTTGATGTTAATTATTATTTTATTTCAGGTACATGAGCAGTAAGGACATGGCAGCTGGGATGGCTTTTGTTGGCTTGGCCACTCCTGGACAACCCGGTTCTTGGGTGACAGAGAGCAAAAACTACCAATTCTGGACGAGGGCAACGCCCTGCGGCAGCTTCAGCATCAGTAATGTGAGAGCAGGAGTGTACAACCTCTACGCATGGGTTCCTGGGTTTCTTGGGGACTACATGTACACCTCGCAAGTAACAGTAACACCAGGTTAAGTTAGCACTAATTCAGATGGCATTTGGTATTACTCCCTCCGTTCTAAATATTTGACGTCGTTAACTTTTTAAACATGTTTGACCATTCGTCTTATTAAAAAAAGTAATTATTAATTATTTTCCTATCATTTGATTTATTGTTGAATATACTTTCATGTATACATATAGTTTTACATATTTTATAAAATTTTTTAATAAAACGAATTATCAAATATGTGCTAAAAAGTCAACGGTGTCAAACATTTAGAAACGGAGGGAGTATTTAACATGATAATCTGGATCAGAACAACTCTGTTTAACTACCATTGTTTGTCTGAATTTAAGCAGGACGTGGCATCAACCTCGGTGATCTTGTGTTCGAGCCTCCAAGATCAGGCCCGACACTGTGGGAGATGGGTGTTCCTGACAGGAGTGCAGCAGAGTTCTTCATCCCTGATCCCAACCCCAAATACCTGAACAAGATCTTCATCACCAAAGACAAGTACAGGCAGTACGGGTTGTGGGAGAGGTACGCTGAGCTATACCCTGACGGCGATCTCGTCTTCACGATCGGCGAGAGCGACATCTCCAAGGACTGGTTCTTCGCACACGTCACAAGGTAATTAAACAACAACGAACAAAACAATCAATCAATCAATCAATTTCCTCTCGATCGATTAACCTCTGAAGAATCATCAAGATAACCAATTGTGTTTTCTTTCCTTGTTGTGCAGAAAGCAAGGCGACGGGTATGCGGCGACGACGAGGCAGATCCGGTTCAGGCTGGAGCGCGTCGTGGCGGACGCCACCTACACGCTCCGCGTCGAGCTGGCGGCGGCGCAGATGGCGAGGGTGCAGGTGGTGGTGAACGGCCGGGCGGACGAGGCGTTGACGACGGCGGCGGCGTTCGGCGACGGGAACGCGATAGCGCGGCACGGGGCACACGGCGTGCAGTGGAGCTTGGAGTTCGCGATCAAGGGGTACATGCTGGTGGAGGGAGAGGAGGAGAATGTGGTGTTCATCACGCAGACGAGGGCGTTGAGCCCCTTCTTCGGCGTCATGTATGATTACATCCGGTTAGAGGGTCCTTCTTCTTCGTGGCGAGATCCTATGACGACGCGAGGTCGATGAACTAGCTCATACATTTGCAAGGTAGGTAGGGCTAGTAGCTCGAGAGTATGGTCCTCTTTGTTTAGGCTTATAAGCCAACTTATAAGCCAAAAAGTTTAAGCCTAAACAAACAAACAGCTTTTTCGTTTGGCTTTTTTAAAGCTATAAGCCACTCTTACACTATTAAGCCAAAAGCTAGGTTGGAGAAGCTTTTTTTTGCTTATATAAGATAGATGTATGACTTCACCACTAAACTTAGGACATTAAATTCACTGGCTTATAAATCATATAAGCCAATAAGCTGACTTAAAAGTCTAAGCCAATAAGCCTAAGCCTAAACAAAGATGGCCTAAAGCTGATGCAAAATGACTCCCTCAACTATGGTGGCTTTTTGTTGATCAAAGAAATTAACAAAATAAATATAGGGTCCACATGTAAGTGACTACATCTCTCCTCCCTTCCCACTCTTTTTTCTCTCGGTTCCCTCGCCAAACTGTGAAGGCAGCCTGTGTGGTGGTGGCATCTTCTCAAAGATAGGGAAGTGATGGGGTTCGGTTTGGTAGTTGAGCTCAAACGGTGGTTAACCAGGACAACGACGACATCTTTGGATGTGATTGAGGAGAAGGTGATAGAGGTGCCAGTGGGAACTGGACACCATACTATACTCCCTTGACTCGATGGCCACCTCCAAGCAGTTGCTCTGTCCCCGCGCTACTCCTTGTGTCGAGTTGCACCATCGACATCATGGCAAGGTGCCTCAGCTCCCCGAGCCTTAAGTCCTTGGCAACATCTCGCTCGAGCTCGAGCCCCACGCTTGCCATCACCACGTCGAACTCGAGTGACTCTTCCTCCGAAGTGAGCCAACCCTCCTTGGCCCTCTCCGTTCCAACTGCCAGCATGATTCGGTGGCATGCCTCTGGTGACGGTTGGCGAGCTAGGGTTGGCTTCCAGGTGGCGGAGGTTACACCCTAGGAGGCATGCTCCTAGCAGTAGCATAAAACACGGGGCCATGTACCACTCGGAGATGATCCATGGCGGCCCTCCCCTATACGCTTGTGTACTCCCTCCGTCCCAAAAAACACAACCTAGGCAAGCATGTGACATCTTCTAATACAATGAATCTGGATAGCCCTTTGTCCAGATTCGATGTATTAGAAAATGTCACATCCCCTCCTATGTTTAGTTTTTTTTTTGCAACGGAGGAGTACACTTGTAGTGGAGTGGCGGTGGCAATCTCTCTCTATACTCGCAGGGTGAGAGAGAGGAGTAGGAGGGAGATAAGAGGGGAGGATCCCATTTTTTTTCCAGGAGACTTACATTGGGTCCTGCCTATTTTTAACATTTTATTTTATTTTATTATTGGAATGGTAGGTAAGTGCCACGTCATATAAAAACTAGGCCAAAGTGACTCGTAAACTCAACACCACAGAGGAGGAAACCTCACCATTAGCATCGCCTAGGGAGTTAAATTGATCTGGTTTTAACGATTGAGGGGGTCTTTATACCTGATTTTAGGATTGATGGACACGACCCAAAACCGCCCTATAGTTGAGGGAGAAAAATGGACTTTCTCCACCAAAATATGGTTAGTACACTTGCATTCGAAATTTGAATTTTACCAGCAGACCTACTTATGGTATTTAATTAATCAATCATGAATTTTACAGAATACAAGGAAGCATTATTCCTCCTTTCCTTATTTCCGTGTAGTAATGTAAAAATGATAGCAATGGATTAATACATAATTATCTTATCGATGCACCACAAACACCTCTATATAAAGCCTCCATATTATCTTGTTTGCCAACGGTATGATCCTCGACTGTCCTGAAGATCGACTCCTAGAGAATGATGTCTCTTCTTGCATTCTTTGCAGCAAAGCATATTGTTGGCTTCAACGACAACTACTGTTCATGGTGTACAAATCGATCCCAATGACATTATCAAGACCATAGAGGTAAGAATTTCTACATTATGTTAATCTTCTTTATTTAGGATTGGTTAGGTTACTACTTGGCAGATATCTATTAACTATATATCATAGTATAAATCTGTTTAATTTTAATCACACAAGATGAATTCTCAAATCTAATATTCCTCATCTTGATATATACTCGATCTGGTTGAATTCATGAATTTATATATAGCTGAACAACTGAGGTCATTTTGGTCCAGGTAGTAATTTTTCCAGTGATCATTGACCTTACCCCCCAAAAAAGTTTCATGTGCTAATTAAGTCTCACTTTGGTTTCTAATTGACAGAGCGAGTGCGGTGATATTATTGACTGCGTGGACATATACAAGCAACCAAGCCTCAAGAATCCATTGCTCAAAGATCATAAAATCCTGGTGCTGTACATACGTCTGAACATTTTCATTGTCGATTACTACTTTCTCTTCACGTTATAATTATAACTACAAAATATTTAGGTTCTGAATAGATTCATGTATATGTTTCATATATATACCCAAATATATATGGATGTTAGCAAATTTAGACGAGAGATGGAAAGATCAAAATCAAAATGTTTTAAATATAAAACATATAGAATATTATAATAGTTTTTTAAGGAATGCGACCATTTATATATGTATGTATGCAATTGTTAGAAAGAAAGTAATACTACCTCCATATTTTCCATATTTTAATGTATGACGCCGTTGACTTTTTTCCAACGTTTGATCATTCATCTTATTTAAAAAATTTATGTAATTATCATTTATTTTAGTGTGACTTGATTCATCACCAAATGTTCTTTAAATATGACATGAATATTTTCATATTTGCACAAAAATTTTGAATAAAACGAATGGTCAAACGTTGGTCGAAAAGTCAACGACGTCATTCATTAAAATACGGAGGGAGTAGTAAATTAAGGAGAGAATTAAGATCGAAGAACTAATTGCAGTCTAAGAGCTACTAGTACTGATGTATGTGATGAATATATATTGTTCAGTTGAAACCAAGCGTGGATCGTCCCAAGATAGTTGAGAAGATGATGGTGTTGGGAAGAAACAACTCGTTCAAATTCGCGGAGCAGGCATGGCATCGAAGCGGTAGGTGCCCTGAAGGAAGCATCCCAATCCGAAGGACACCTGCTACTGCTACTGCTACTGCAGATGCAAACCGAACCCTCCATTTCTTCTACTCCAATGGCCGACCTCCTCCAAACAGTATTCATGATGAAGCTGGCAATAATAATTATAATCTAGAAGTAATAATACTACTATACTCCCTCCGTCAGGAAAAAAAAAAACTCAATCCGACCCCTTATAGGATCATGAATTTGGATAAAGGTAGCTCAGATTTATTGTATTAGGAAATGTCAAATCTTCTTCTAGGTTGATTTTTTTTAGACGAAGAGAGTATAGTACTAGTGATTATATTAATTTAATCGTCAAATTAAACATATATAAGGTGATGGATTAGTATGATGTGTGCGCAGATTGCAGCGGCATATGGAGTGAATGGGCCATATCACGGAGCATCGGCGTGGCTTCCTATATGGAAAGTTGGGGTGGGACCCTCTGAATTCTCCAAGAGCTACCTCGCCATCGCCAGTCCAACAGTCAGGGAATTTACGCCAATCCCAGGCAAAGATCCACCTAACATCGACAACCAAATTGCTCTCGGAATCGCCGTACGTGCCAGTTACCATTTCTATATATTTATTTTTGTATGTGTATGTTACCTGGGAAACCGTTTGTAGTCCCGGTTCGTAACCCCCTTTAGTCTCGGTTGTCCAATCGGGACTACGAATCCGGAACTAAAGATAGCGATCTTTAGTCCCGGGTGAAATAACCGGGACTAAAGATCGATCTTTAGTCCTGGTTGGTAACACGGACCGGGACTAAAGATCGGTGATTTGCATGGCCATGTTTGCTGCATGGTTGATTACATATATACATACATATATATATATATATATACATATATATATATATATGTGCTTATATATATGTATATATATATATATATATATATATATATATATATATGTGTGTGTGTGTGTGTGTGTATATATATATGTGCATATGTGTATATGTATAAATACATATATTACACACATATTTATAATTTAAAGCACTTAACATTTTATGTGCATATATGTTACCAAAATATATATTAACACTAAAGTAAATGTACGTACATATATAAATATATATACATGCATGTATAGTACAATTCATTTGCTCGCTAGCTATAGCTACGACTTCGACGCCGGCGTTATGTCACAAGAGGAAGGACCGACGTTATGAATTGTCGATCCGTCGTAGTAGAATTCACCATCGGGATTAAGGACTTCTTCGTTGATGAACCCCATCAGTTGTTCTTGAACAGCCGTGATAAAATCCTTGTGTGGGAGATTTTCCCTCATGTGAATACGCTATCATTCGAAAAATAATGACATATCAATATATGAAATTAATAAACAACTTAACAAATCGATACGCAATGAAATTTTGAATGGTTTATGTATACGTACATCGAGTTCTCGTGTGGTGTATATTTGGTTTGATAGGCAGTGGGCATACTCGCATACGTAGTAGCCGCATAAGTTAGTTCCCTGGTCCTGCTTTGCACACTACATGAGAAAAAATGAGAGATTTAATATACTCTTTATATTA